CAGATTGCCCCCCCCCCCCGCGCCGACGACCGATCCTGGCGGGGCCCGCCCTGCGCCCAGGACGGGCGCACGCCACGGTCGAGGCGCCGAGGGAGGGGCCCTGCTGGGCTCGGGAGGGGCTCCGCGTCTCGGGCCGCTCTCTCTCTGGACCTAGACTCGGCATCGCTCGGTCGGACGTGTGCACTGTTCCTGCGGCGAGGACCATCGAGGAGCATCCTGAGTCATTTGGCGAAAAAGCCACGCACGAAACCGAAACAAAAACACACGGAATGGACGTCCGAGCGATGGCCAGTAGATGTAAGTCGGGCACGTCCCTTTGCAGGAAGAATCTTCAAAAATAGTCAAAACGTAATTTGGGGACGATGCTTCGGCTGTTTTTTTATGCATATGTTCTGACTATGGTTGATTTTTCTCTCTCAAAATCCGCCTGTAGGGGGACATGCCCGACCTCAGCCTAGATCGGGGGACCCTGCGTGGCCGAAGCTCACCGCGGCCAGGAAGGCCCCCTCCGTTCCGCCAGTCCTGGATCGGCCTGGAGGGAGTGGGGGTTGGGTTGGCCGTGGTCCGTGTCACCGATCCTGGGCGCAGGGGTTGGGTTGGGCGTGGTCCGTGTCGGTGTGGAGTCTGGCGCCCACGCGCAGAAGGGGGGCAGGGGGAGCGGGGGAGGCTGCTTGGAGGCACTCCTGCTCATAAGAAGGCGCGGGCCTTGTCTGCAGATGAAGGACCGGCGCCTTCTCAGAAGCAGCCTCCTTCTAAGAAGCTTCCATCCCTCCCCCATACTCACCGAGCGCGTTCCACTACTCGCAAAGTGCCTACTCGCAACAGGCCCTAGAAACAAACGTCTGCCTCGATGCGATGGATCGCAAGTCCTCCTCGGCGGATCCAGGCCATTTGCGAGTAGTTAGTTCGAGAGTAGTGGAACGCGCTTGCCCCCGTACCATCCCGTGCGCGCCGCCAAATGTCGGTGCGGAGTTTGGCATTGTCCTCCAAGGCAGAGCAGCGCCCACTTCCCGTCGCTGGGGGCGTGCAAGGCCTGCGCGAGTGGGAGGGTCGCCTTCCCAGGCATGTTCGCGTCGTGAAGATGTCAGGACGGAGGGTTTTTTCTCCATTCTCGGCCTCTGGAGGGCTTCACCGGGCCTCGGGACCGTCAAAAAACGACTCGGGACGAGAAATTGGCCCTGGGGAAAGGGTCGGGACTTCCGGGGACCGCGCATTGACAAGAATTGGGACGTCGCATGTCTGGGTTCGCAGCGCGCGAGAGGGAGGGGGTCGTGATTGCATGGAGCGTTGGCAACGCCGCTGGTTGTGGACTGCATGGCCAGCTTCGTCACTTCGTAGCATACGCGTGCCCACACTAGTTCCTTACACGCTCTTGTTCCTCCCACGCTAGTCAAGCATCTGTCCCGTTGCTCATCCCCTCGTCCGTGGCTGAGTAGCGCATGTCCGCCTCCATGGGCGGACTCTGGATGTCCCGACCTTTTCCCCAGGGTCAGTTTTTTGTCCCGCCCCGCTTTATGGTAGCCTGCAGGGCCTCGACAACGGGCCCCGGAGGCCGACATCGAGGAACAAAAACGGCATTCAGAAAAACACATCGTCTGACACTTGGGCTTCAGATCATAACTTTCAGGAGGGGAAAGAACACACAGACACAATCAATCTTCGATCCCCCTGAAAATATGGGAAAATATGGGAAGTGGGGGGGGAGACAAGAACCTAGAAAATATAGGAAAGTATGGTGAATGTGTTTATTTGTGTGTATTTATTTGTGTGTCCTGGGGCCCCTTCAAACTTGGGCCTCAGGCAGCCGTTCGGGATTATTCAGGCACCCCTGGAGCGTTCCCCGAGGCCCGAGGCTGGACAGCTTCTGGGTTCACGGCTGCATGGCGCAGTCCTGTCATGCTCCTCCTCCTCCTCCTCCTCCTCCTCCTCCTCCTCCGCCTCCTCCTCCTCGTCCACTCATCCGCCTCTCTGCTCCTGCCTGCTCGTTGCCTCCTCCTCGGCGCCGCCGACGACGCCGCCGCCCGCCGCCCCACCCGAGGCGCAGCCGGACGCCTCTCCCCCGAAGCCCAGGTGGGTGCCCTCCTGGCAGCGCAGGGCGGCGGCAGGCGGGCGCCTTCGCGCAAGACGGCGGCGGCGGCGGCGGCGGCGCGACGGAACCGACGACGACGGCGACTACGACCACGACCACGACGACCATCGCGACGACGACGACGACGACGACGACGACGACGACGACGACGACGACGGCGGTCGTCGTAGGCGTCGTCGTCGCTGCCTGCGGCGGCGCAGGCGGCGGCGACGTCCGTCGGCAGCGCCCGGTGACTTCGGCGCCGGCGGCGGTGGCGGCGGCGGTTGCTAGTCGACGGTTCCTCGCAAGTTCTCGGAGGTCCTCAAAGTGGGCCGACCTCCGGAAAGTGCGTCCTTCCTTTTCGTACGCGTGCAGATTTGCAATGATTGTTTTTGGTTAAAAAAGGTAGCGATGTTCAGGCGCTGCATCTTGCGATGTCAGCGTGCTGCTGGCAAAATCCAGGGTTGAGGTCCGCTACTGCAGCATCGTTCAGCGCTTCTGTGCAGTCACTCCATTTGGCCGACTGCTTGGGCCCCGACATCCTTTACGCCGCTGGCGCCAATAGAATAATGTTCCTGGAGGTCCTCGGATGGTTCTGAGGTTCCCAAAGGTCGGGTGGCGGCGGCCGCGTCGCGGGCGTTGTGCGGATGTGTCCTCGTGGCGCCAGGGTCCTAGATTCAAGTCGGGCGTGTCCCTCCACAGGAGGAATATTCCAAAGATAATCCAAAAATAGTCTGGGACCATTTTTCTATTATTTTTTGACTGTAGGAAGACACGCCCGACCTAATCTTGGATGTCCAGCGATATGATTTCGTCAGTCCTGCCGTTTGTTCCTCGATCCTCGATCTCCTCTGCAGTCCTGGCGTGATTTTTTTTCGCGACGGGCGATAGCGCCCAGTCAGAGCCCCGAATCATCAAAGCTGGGGGCGGTCAGGGATAGCTACAGATTCGCGCTTCGGGGGCCCTGAACCCGAGCTACCCAGGACCGCAGTTATCCAGGATAATTGGGACTTCCAACCAAGATTCTGGCCCTTGGACCAAAACAGATCGATCCGTTTCAAAATACCTCAGAAAGGCGGGGTCTAGCGCTCCGGTCGAGATCTTTCGTTCGCAGCGTCGGATCTCAGGGTCCTGGGGGGGCCCGCTATACATCGGGCCTCTGGCGCAGAAGGGGTCTCGGATTCCGTGATGCCGCAGATTTAAAAAAGCGCATCGTCGGATGTCGTGGACCAAGGTCTCAGACCCCCGACGATGTGATTTTGAATCCTTGCATCTTTCTTCGATTTCGGTCCTTGAGCCCGTCATCGGGCCCTGGGCCACCATGAACGGGCCGGAAAGGAAAAACGACCCACCAGAAATGGCACCGGTCGGGAGTTCTAGGCCGCGCTTTGAAGCGTCACACGTCGTCGGATGTCCGAAGCAGCGGCCGGAGAAGACGGGGTCGGAGGATCGCGCCGCATCGCCGATGCACCGCCGATGAGCTCGCAGATGCATGGGCGATGCGGTGTGGTCCTCTGCCCCCATCCTCTCTGGCCCTAATAGAGCGGCGCAAGAGAATAGGGTTCGGGGCTGGACAGAACCCCCAACAGTGACACGTCGATTAGTGAATTGTCCGTTCTCGGCTCTCGAGAGGGCGCCGTGGCCGTTATTTTCCAGGCTTGCGCTCGCCAGGTTTGGGCCTCAGGTCGTGTTCACTAAACCACGTTTTGCTAAAGGGGGGTCTGTCCATCCCCGATCTGGCCCTAATAGAGCGGCGCAAGAGAGCAGGGCCGTCTGCAAGGAAGTGGGCGCGTGAGTTCCTTGCCCAAGGTCGCGCGTGAGCGTCCTCGTTTTTTTGTTGTGGCGAGCTGCGCTGGCGGCCTGCGCGCGCCACCGCGCAGGGTCGCTCTCTCGCATCTCGCGTGGGGCCCCTCTGTTTCGGGGCTGGACAGAACCCCCAATAGTGACACGTCGATTAGTGAATTGTCCGTTTTCGGTTCTCGAGAGGGCGCCGTGGCCGTCAGTTTCCAGGCTTTCGCACGCCAGATTTGGGCCCGAGGTCGTTTTCACTAAACCACGTTTTGCTAAAGGGGGTTCTGTCCATCCCCGACGGTTTCCGTCGCTCATGTGAGAGGCCTCTCCATGGGGAAGGCAGGGGGCCACAGGGGCTCAACGCCAGCTGCTGGGAAGGGGGGCGGGACGCGGGGGGGGGGGGAGCGGGGGCTTTGGTGCTCAGCCTGGAGCGTGCCTGCGCCATTCACATCTTGGCCCCCCGTGCATGGCCAGGAGGTTCCGCTGCCGTCGTCGCCGTCGCCGTCGCCGTCGCCCCATCATTGAGGGGCAACGATAGGGGCGGACTGACTCAGGGGGGGACGTCGATCTAGAATCGACGATACATCGCCGACAAGTCGGCGATACCTTCTCGATGTCCAAGCCGCACGGCCCCAAGCGGGCTGGGCTACCAGCCCCTGTCGGCGATGAATGGGCGACTGGGCGCCGATGCATCCCCCCTGAGCCTGGGCCGATGTTCCACCATCGCTACCATAGGTAGGAGGCGAAGGAGGAGGAGGAGGAGGAGGAGGAGAAAGACCTCTACATCCTCCCTTCTCCCCCGTCCTACCTAAGGTAGTGGTGGTGGCATTTGGCCCATCATGTCCCTCCCTGATTCTACCTCTCAGTTTTCGGGCCACAACTCGGACCTCCGGCGGCCGTTCGGGACGATCTGGGCACACGTGGAGCGCTCCCGACGAGGCGCAGCCGCTGGAAGGCAGCCCGAGGCTGGAAAGCCGCCGAGAAACGGCGGAAACGCCCGAAAACCTCGAACCTCCCACCTCGGGGTCAAACATCGACCCTTGAACCTCTCCTGGGATGCGTTCTGCTAGCGTACTCGATCGCGTTTTGTGAGCTCCTGTCCGAGCAGTGGGAGGAGCGTAGGATCTTGCTTCAGTGTACGATGGGGAACTGGAGTCGTTCCCATGGGCAGAAGAAGTACACGGAGTGCAGCAAGTGTCAGAATTGGGTCTACGATTGGCAGCTTCGCAAGCAAGGCGGCTGCTGCGGGAAGTGCGGGACGCTGCAACAGAAGCAGCTGGAGGAGTGTCCGGGCGCAGTAGCGGCCGCGACGTCCATCACCCCGATGTCCTGGCGGCTCTCACGAGTTGCTCAAGCAGCTGCGCGACTGCTTCCCCGCGAACGCGCAGATCATCCTGGCCATGCAGGCGGACTTGGCCGAGCCGCCCGAGCCGCCTCCGAAGTCACCGTGGTGTTGGCGCCTGCCGACCGCTACAAGAAGGCTACGGGGGTGCGTTCTGACCAGGATTTCGAGGCGGACCCAGCCGCCGGGGCCACGAGGGCGCCCCAGGACGAGCAGAAGCTTCGAGGGAGCGAACCTCGGTCCTCGATCCTGGAACCCTGAGCATATCCCCCCCCCAGAGTTGCCCCTGAATCCTCGCCATCCTCCTGACCCTCCTCCCCCTCCCTCTCCTCCTCCTCCTCTCCTCCTCCTCCTCCTCCTCCTCCTCCTCCTCCTCCTCCTCCTCCCCTCCTCCTTCCGCCTCCTTTCCCTCCCTCTCCTCCTCCTCCTCATCATCATCCTTTCACTCCTTCT